AAATAGAAGAAACTAAAAATACCACATATCATGCATACACAACAATAATGTCGTGCTGAACGATCTTCAATGATCGAAAATATAACATCTTTGATTATATGTACGGGGCGACTTTTTACAGCCTCCACACGGCACAAATAACACTGATGTGGCAATAAAATAGAAAAAAAAAACAGAACCCCTAAAGAACGTCCAGAACGACCAAATTGAAAACGTTGCAGACTCGGTTTGATTGATCCTGATCAAAACGCTAAATTTTTAAAAAGCAGAATCCCTAAAGATAGCTATAGCCCAACACGGCAACACTGAAAGTGTTGCTAAAGCACGGTGCGTAATCGTTTCGGGCTGATTTGGAATATTTCCCCGTTCCTGAACTGATTTGGATTTATGACACCGGATTGATTAAGATAAAGTGGATTTTGAGCTAGACAAGGTAAGAACATTTAAAAAAACACATTTACAACTGATATTCTTTGAATATTCTACTTGCACGGAACATTGCTATGTTAAAAGAATTCGTAACGGTATACAACTTTATAAATATGATAAACAAGATCAACAAGGAAATTCGGCGTTCAATGAACTCAACCACCACACGACCTAGCAACAAGAACCATAGGCAAGAAGCCCAGGCGGACCCCAAACAAAAACAGGACAGGACACAAGGCAGAGTACGGACAGGCTAATCACTAAAATGATAAATAATTTGAAGCTGACGAGGAACTCAAAGAAAACTAATAATTGATCAAATAATAGGAAATAATTTGCACCTGACAAGGAATTGAAAGAAAACAAATAAATGACTGAAAACAGGCAGACATACGACATAACATGTATACACAACAATTATGTAAAGCTGAACGATCTTCAAAGATCGAAAATATAACATCTTTGATTAAATGTACGGGAAGACTTTTAACGGCCGCCACACGGCACAAATAACACTGATGTGACTATAAAATAGAGACAAACAGACTCCCTAAAGAAAGCCCAACACGGCCAACCACCAAACTAGAAAAAAAGACCAAATAGAAGGAACTATAAAAGTATCGCAGCAAATTTTGTAGTACTGAACGATCTTCAAGGATTGAAAATAAAACACCTTTCATTATAAGTATGAGCGACTTTTTTACGGCCGCCACACGTCACAAATAACACTGACGTGACCATACAATGCAGAATCTACTTAAAGACAACCTCCTTCCAAATAATGGTTAGAAATTCAAACATAGGGCCTATTATTCAAATATCCCTACTTATTTATAAAATTAAGTATAAAGAAATAAGGCAGAGTTCTATCATAGCTCCTTCCAAATATTTTAAAGATATACTATGCTCATCTTTTGGTAAAATACTTTTATTTGCAGACATTTATTGAAATCTAGTAAATGCTTCCTTATATGTCTAATTTGAATCAGTGAATGTATATAAACTATGGTTGGAAAGCTGCAATTTCCTATTACTTGCAAAGTTAATTTGGTCTATTCTTATAAAAAAAAACTGCCATTTTTTTATGACACTTTGCAATCATAATGTGATTACCTGTAGTGTGTAGAGTGTAAACCATTACCTACCTTCAAATGATGTTTGTTTTACATTTCAAATGAGAGTGTAAAGTAAAATTTTACTATTTTTTTCAAATTTCAAATTTGAGCATTATATAACTATATATATAAATATCCATTTAGACAAAAACACATAGTAGTTCTAGATCTAGAATTTAATATGATGTTTGTGTCGCCTCTACAGAGTAGTGGCGACATATAAGGGTGACCACCGTCGTCTGTCTGTCTGTCTGTCTGTCTGACTGACTGACTGTCCGTCGCAAAACTTGTCAGGACTACTCCTCAAAAACTACTGGTGTACTTTCATCCAAATTTTACAGCTAAAATCAACAAGGAAAGGCGGCGTTCAATGAATGCACCCCCCACACACGACCCAGTTCCATGAGCCCAGGAGGCTAGTCGTGCATATCGTCGGCATTTTCCTGTATTGATTTTCTGTTAGAGGTATGGCCCTTTAATGATTTTCATTTTTTAAATTTTGTCAGGACTTATCCCCTTATACCACTATTCACTATTGCAATTTCAATGAAACGTTACAGGATTAACTCAAGTACATTGTACTTGCGCATATTACACGGGTTTTCCGCTTGAATGATTTATATTCGAGTTATTGCTCTCAGATAAAAAAAAGAAGGTGTTTTTGTGTTGCCAGCTACACAGACGCTTGTCTGACATACTCCTCAGAAACTACTGGTACAATTTCATCCAAACAATTTTACAGGAATGATCAGTACCAAGTCTAGTTGTGCATGTCATCAGCATTTTTCGGTTCAATGATTTTTGTCAGAGTTCGGCCCTTTGATGATTTTAATTTTCAAAATTTGTCCAAAGTACTCCTCTTATATACATTGTATCTAATGCAATTTCTATAAAAACAAACTTTACAAGATTTATCTTAGCTCAAGGACTTCCCCATTAACACGGATTTTGTGGTTGAATAATTTTGGGCTGAATTATGGCCCTTGAATAAAACAGTTTGTATGGACTACTCCTCTAGTAATACCATTAACGCAATTTTAATGACACTTTACAGGATTTATCGGTAGCTCAAAAACTAGCGCATATTACATTGGTTTTCCCCTTGAATGATTTTTGGCCGAATTATGGCCCTTGAACAAAAACCTTCAATGTAACAATGCTATTCCATCAAAAGCGGCGTATGATCTCCAAGTAAAGTGCGTGTGCCCTAAACGAAAAAACAATGAGCGGAACTAAATGGAATGTTATTTTGGTATGAAATATGATGAACAAGATCAACAAGGAAAGGCGGCGTTCATTGAAGCCTGCATATCACAGATAAGACGTCAAAAGACAAATTTAAAAAAGCAGGCAACATATCCTAAGGGTTCAAGTAGGAATACTGGAACCACCCAAGTTGAAAAATGCCAAATGGATGAAACTTAAAATACCACATAACATGTATTCACAACAATAAAGTCATGCTGAACGATCTTCAAGGATCGAAAATATAACATCTTTAATTCTAGTTGTGTATATCATGGGCATTTCTGGTTCATTGATTTTAGTCAGCGTTCTGGCTTTTTAATAATTTTTATTTTTAAAATTTGTCCGGATTTATACCGCTAATGCAGTATCAATGAAACTTTAATCGGTAGCTCAAGTACTTGCACATTATAGTTGAATGATTTTTGTCTGAATTATGGCCCTTTTTAAATGGCATTGCGGGTCGAATAGAACAAATATTTTCTACATAATTACATTAATTGGACAGACAAAAGTCCTAGATCTTATTAATAGTAGAATCTAGTCTAGTTGTATTATTTATTTATTTTTTATTCTTTTTTGCGGACCGAATTGATTCGTGACAAAAACTTTGACCTTTTACTTATGTGCACGTGATCACAGCTGTAAAATTAACTTTGGCCAGTGATGTTTTCAGATTGTCATGAATTTGAAACTTCTCTTGTTTATCATATTTTATGTTGTTTTTTTTCTTCTTTTTTTATAAATGGGGTTGAATCTTTATTCGGAACTTAATCGTATTTTAGATGTATATATTTATGTTTAACATGTGTAACAAAAAATGGATACAGCTCTATTTTTTGTTTCGTCTATATGAAAAGACTGACCAATGAGTGAGGAATCTCGAACATCAATATTTTAAAAAACCTCTGTACCCCCTTTCTTCTTTCCCGCCGTCCGAAATCATCTTTCCTGGAAGTTTTTTCTACCCTGTAGATAGAAACTAGATTAGTTTTGTTACTGTATTTTATTTTGTTGCCCAATTTATGCTACAGCTATTCTTAATTTGCACATTCTTTCTAGAAGCATGATGCCAGTTGTGGCAGAACGGGAAGTTTAAATGGGGCTCAAACTCGAGATTCATAGACCCAGACATAAATATCTGTACATATCATAATAAAGAAAAAAACATAATCCCTGAAGGGTGTCAAAAACGACAAAACTGAAAATATTGCAGGCTCGGCCTGTTCATGCACGGTACTAGATCTAGTAAGTGCACGCCCCTAGCACCGGCTTCATTCAACCACGAAAATGGTGAAACTTTGAGTAAGAAACATCCGCAGATGTGTTTATGACATGCATCCTCTGTTTGTTTACATGATATAGTTCTATATAATAGTGAGAAATAAAGAATCCCTTAAGAAAGTCCAAAACGACAAAATTGTAGATCTAAATGTTGCAGGCTCGGTTTGATTGAGCCTGAATCATGGACGGTAATGGAAAGTGCTAGTTACCGACCACAGGCGTTCGGCACATTCGCCATGTCAATAATGGTCCATATCATATAATAATCACTCCATAGATCTATATAAAATATATACATTTTATATAATAAACGTGTGGTGAATAGTAATTTTGTACTTGATGATCAAGGGGTGATTATTTTATGATAATTGGACCTATTGACATGGAAAATGTGCCGAACGCCTGTGTTACCGTCCACGCACCCCCCACTTACTTACATGTTATATGACAATACTCATGTTGCTAAGAAGAATGAGTTCTTTTCTTTTTTCTCTTTCTCTTTTTGTGAGGTCCAATTTAGTAGGGATTTGGATGCGCTTGGGACTGGACTAACAAGAAGAATATTAGAAAATCTACCTAATGTGTGTAGCTGTAGCTATATGTATGATGTTAGTGTAATTAGGTTAATCAAAAAGTCGTAAAATAATTTCTAAAAAAGTTGTAAAAAAAAATTTATTGTGAGAGAGACGATATTTTAGATTCTGAGTGCCGTGTGCAGCTAAAAAGTTGCTCTGAATTTAATGTACGGTACCTTGTTGAAATATTTTTTGGTCCATCGGCATCCTTGATTCCAGCATGTTACTGTTGGAGATTGAATATACTTTTCTTCCGCTAAAGCCGGTGTTGGGGGAGGGGGGTCAGGAGATGGTGCACTTTTACATCAATTGAAAACAACCAGCAGTGCCTAAAATTACCATAATGACCTCGTTATGCACAGTATAGTAGTGGTGTGGTGTGGTGTGGTGTGGTGTGGTGGTGTGATGTTGTGGTGTGGTGTGGTGGTGTGTTGTGGTGTGGTGGTGTGTTGTGGTGTGGTGGATGTGGTGGGGTGTGTTGTGGTTGTGGTTGTGGTGTTGTGGTGTGGTGTTGTGTGGTGTGGTGTTGTGGTGTTGTGTGATGTGGTTGTGTTGTGGTGTTGTGGTGTGGTGTGTTGTGGTGGGTGTGGTGTGGTGTTGTGTGGTGTGTTGTGGTGTTGTGGTGTGGTGTGGTATGGTGTGGTGTGGTGTGGTATGGTATATAACTAGTATAGCTCCATGTAATCAAATTTCAGATTATTCGTTCCAAATGTATTAAACAGTTCTTATCTCCCACTTTCGTGTCCAAACGATCTATTGCTTATTAATAAGCATTTCTGTTCCTTGTTCTTGCATTTTAACTGGAAGGAACAAGTCTAGTTTCCAGTCTGAATTGCATTTTATTTTTTAATTCACTTCTATGAACACCATTTTTGTTACAAAGACTTTACAGATACTTGACATATGGTAAATATGATAAGTTGAGGATCTCGTGTAAAACGTGAAATTCTTAAGCTGTACTTAAAATTTATGTTATTACATTTATCATGTAATGTTGTACTGTAGAATAACCTAAGGGAGTTAAATTTTGTTTACGAAGTAGCAACGCGATATGGTGAATTATTGACCTTTCATTGCAAATAAAGAACATTTAGAAATAATTTACAACGATGTGACGATGTGGAACATGTAATTTAAGAGGTAGCCTAATTAAAAGAAGAGCTGAGCTAGGAAGTAATTGGTTTAAAAAAACAAAACAAAACTACTAATCCAAAGAATAAAAACATAAACCTAATTTATATTTGCATATATGTTTAATGTTTAGTATTGTTTGTTTTTTTAATAAACATGTTTTAGAACTTATGTAAATGTTATTAGAACTATGGGTGTCTTGATAACAAAAGAATTGTGGTTCGATTTGAGAATCGTAAGTGCTCGGATTGTCACTTATCCGACGATCTACACCCCTACACAATGGCAATATACTACACCGTGATATATAATGGTGATCTACCACACTGTGCTATATAATGGCGATATTCTACACTGTGATATAAAATGGCGATATACAAAACCGAGATATACAATGGCGATATACTAAACCGTGATATATAATGGTGATCTACCACACTGTGATATATAATGGCGATATACCACACCGTGATATTTAATGGTGATGCACTACACTTTGATATATAATGGCGATATACCACACTGTGATATATAATGGCGATATACCACACCGTGATATTTAATGGTGATGCACTACACTGTGATATACCATGGCGATATACCACACTGTGATATATAATGGCGATATACCACACCGTGATATTTAATGGTGATGCACTACACCATGATATACCATGGCGATATAGTATACCGTGAGACAACAATGCGATATGTGATGACGTCTTTTAGTTACAACAGACACGATTAATTGTATTCACATTGGACGTAACAGGAATAAAAGAAAAATTGCCGCAATATTTTTATGTAAACGTAAATGAGTTTTACATTGATTTAACTATTAATTTAAAATACCTCCCTCTAACAATTATTTAACTATATCAATTTACCAATTAATTTTCTGATCAACATAATCAAACGCTTTTGTTCACTCTATAATATATTTGTTGTTTAAGTATTATTAAGTACAATTATTGTTTATCTATCTCTATCTATAGACAAATCTATAATTCTAGTAAAATGTTTACCTAAACTATAAAGTAGAATTTGTCAATACATCCGCTTTATGTGCAAAATGGTTTGTCAATGAGCTTAAATTTTATCTTAATATAAAATATCTGTAACATGCAATAGTAAACATGTATTTAGATTATGATATACTTTGCGATCGATTATCTATGAAAAGAACATAATTCATTTAAATTTTCTCATTTCTAATATTGCAATGCTAAACAAAAACAGCGAAACTGTGAAGCAAACTCAGTTGATTTTTATTTCGCATGAAAAGTTTCACACATTCTTTTGATAGTCTTTAAAAAAACCCTGCAAAGCATGTACATCTGCAAAGCATGGAGTATAAATTAGAATTATATCCTGGTAGATATTGAAATGAAAATGTGACCGACATCCATACGGTATATATTGAAATTATATCCTCGTATACATTGAAATGACAATGTGATTGAAATACACACGGCACACTTTAAGCCCTCGTATCCATTGAAATAAGAATGGTAGGCCTATATACAATGGTCGAGTCTTGATGACTTGAATAGACTTGATGGACTAGGCTGAAAAAATTAGATACTGCGATTCGCATAATATTGAAGATGAACTTTTTTAGTACTTAAGAAATTAAGGAAATCCTGAAAACTTTTCAAGGTTAACTCATTCTTACTGCAGACTCGTCATACATTTTTAAGGAATTAAGATAAAAACATATCTATTCTTGACAAAATTAAGAAAATTGCAACAGATATGGAGGTAGAAATAAAATAAAAAAGAAATAAATAGAATGTATCATAGAATTGATTCTGTGTTGAGAAGTGTTAAAGTAAATTAGCTCCTCGATATCTCGCTAATGGGCCGATTGCGTACAGGTGCTGGGTTGCTATTTAAGTTAAATGTGGATCGAAGACGCAACTATACTTAGTTGACAAACATAGTTGGGCATTATCGCTTGTCCATTCCTATACGACATTTGTATAGTTTAACTTGGTAACCGTTATTAACTTTCTATGTGACATCTTTGGTGATATTAGGTATTACAGCTCGTTTTTTACATCGTTTTCTTTTATTGATAATATGGGGCTTATAAAATGATTTACGTAGAATAAAAAATTGTTTAATTTTACTTCTGGAGCGACTGGGGAGTTATTGTAACGTTACGGTGATGGGGTGTGTCGTATCAAACTTGGGTTCATCACATTCTGACGATAAGGAACTCCCACATTTTGTTTCACCGGAGGATGTACGACTCGTGCAGGAAAGCTGGTTACTCGTGCAGCAAGACATGGATAACATCAGTCTTATCATATTAAAACGGTAATGAAATTTTATATAAATTGTTAAAAAATAATTGAGGAATCGCTAGATATACATAATTCATTTTTTTCTCTGTCTGCGTATTTATGAAATTTAATAATTGAAACAATCCGAGTTTTTTAACAAGAAAGTGTAGCAAGAAAAGTTCGAGGAAAAGTTGTTAAAGTATAAGAAGCATCAGTTGTACTTCCATCATTTTAAAATGACGTAAACTTGTTTAGAATGGTCTCTTTTTATCTGTTTTTAAAGAAATAAAGTAGATTTTTACGCGTTTTTCCCCCTCAAATTAAAAAAAAACCGATAAATAGATATGGTAATGGGTATTTTTTATTAATTCATTTCAAAACTAAAATTCACACCGTTAAAGATGGAAATTGATACAATTATAACCCGAGCGCACCAGTTCAAACTGGTATAAGATAGCTTACAAATATAAAAATATAGGAACCGCAAACTTTGAAAACTATATGTTATTTAATTGTAGAAGACAAATTCAATGGTATATTTTTGTCCTTTTGATAACGTTTGGTATTTAGGAAACTTCATAATATGAATCTTTTCTTTATTAGAACAGCGTGACCTTTTTAATTATCAGCACTCACTTTTCTTAACAAGTTATGAACATTTACGTACCATTTTATTGATTAAGTCAGCTTCATATATAAAGTTTGTAATTATTGAGACACAATGATAGGCAATTCCATGAAAATGGGTGAACAAACAAATATTTCTTTACAGATATAAAACACCACAGACGGTGACATAACAACAAAGAATAACTTGTCTAACTATGTCGACAGAATAAATTGTAATATTTATTTAAAGGTCCATTAGACCTCAGTAATGCTTAAATATTTATTTCTCAAAAGTTTTTTTAATTTTGGTATCTTTTTTTAGTATCCAAAAAGAAACTGATTGACCATTTACCAGAACCATCTTTTTCATCTGTTATTTTTTTTTGTCAATAAGTACAGTTATAGTGAATTAGTATTTTGTATGAAAGTCAAAATACTACTTTGTTTACATTTTGCTACTTTATGATAAATTATTTCACATTTATCGCTGCTTTCTTCAGGTAACAAGCATTTAATAACATTTTCTTCGAACATAATTTAAACATTATAAAATTAATCTTTGCCCTTTCTATACAAGAAAAAAAGATGTTTTGAGGCATAATGTACCTTCATGAATAGCACAGGGATGATTTTAAAATTAGCTTAAGAAACTTTTTATACAAATAAATTGTGTTTTTACGGTTGTTTGTTTTCCTTCATTTTTTTAAAGAAAAACATACGTTATATATTTTAAGTGTGCTTGTCATAAACACATAGTTATATAAATTGACAAGATTTCTGAGACAATGATGCATTTAATGTGAGTTCTCTTCTATTTTGGTTTTAGGGATTTCTAGATAAATATGAATTAAATGTACCGTTTTTGTTTTATTATGTTGTAGGTTTTTCGAGACGAACACAGATTTAAAACGGTTGTTTTATACAAAATTACGTGGCGACGATATGGATATGGATAACATTGAAGAGAAAGAATTTGACGAGGAGAAACTCCGTATGCATGGTCGTATTGTGATGGAAGCTCTAGGGGCAGCAGTTGAATGTCTGAACGACAGTGAACACCTTACAGTATTACTTATAGGTAAATGTGAAACTTTTTAAGGCAAGTCTGTAGCTTCTGATACGTCTTAAAAATAAACTATCTCAAAGTATTACTTATAGTTATAGGTGAATATTTAACTTTTAATACGTCTTATAAATCATCAAACATCTCGCAGAATTACTTCAAGGTAAACGTGTCACAGTATTACTTTTAAGTAACATTTAAATTTTAGCATATAAATCATAAATAAATTAACTAAAAAATAATAAAACTAATAAATAAAACTAATAAATTAATTTTAACTACTATTTTCCGTTTTACTAAATTGCATGAACTCCTTATGTGGTTCGTATTAATTTAAAGAACATATTTTTGTCATACGTTGAATTTTAACATAACAAAACAATAGCACTACAACGTTATTGATTTTCTAGAAAGTTTGTAGTTTTAATCTTTTATGTTTATCAGTATAGTTGTAAGGAATTATTTATTTTATGCTTTTCAGTGGATTACTGATTTATCCGTGAAAATTATATTTGATAATTTCACTGTGAAAATTATCAAAATATAATTTCACTTTTTTCAATGACGAAACTACTTTTTTAAGATTTTCCCCATGTGGTACCTCAATTTTATTTTTACTGACAATTCTGACAATGTCAGGCTGTTAAAAGAAATAGCAAAGCTGAAATAGATAAATAACTTAAATGTCAAAAGTAATAAAGAGAGAAAACTTACTTCTATTCCTTAAATAAATTTTGTCTCTAAATTTTTTTTGTTTCGTTTTTACAGTCTGAAAAATACATTCCTTCCCCATGCAAAACTGCTCTTGATGACATTTGGGCATATTAAAGTATCCTACGAGCAATAACTGCCGTATGCTTTATGAAAAATTGAAAAGCATTGACAGCCATCACTCGTAAAATAAGTAAAACAACCCAGCGTTCCTTAGCAAGCTTCCAAGTTTTCCATTTTTCTAGCTCCTTTTCTGAATGTTTTCACTTCTGTCAACACTTATTTTTTGTCTGTTACAATCCTCAAATAAGTTTTCTTTCTTTTAAAAAGGTGTATGACTAACAAATCCAAATTATATCCTTCTGAATCTTACACAATTATTTTCCTCCCATGAAATACACAACTTTAAAAAATGGCTGCCGCTTACATTTTACAAAGCCAGGTCTAATATAAATTCGCAGTAAGTAACAGAAATATGGATGGATGGTTGGACTTTTTCTCCTACAAGAATTGTTTGTTTTTATTATTAAAGCAAGCGATCATTCATATTTTTTTAATAAAATGAATAAATATCACCGTCATTTAACCTTGATTGGCGGACTTATTTTTCAGCTCAAAACTTCTTGTTTTAAATGAGAAATTCCGTCTAAATGGGGGAAACAGATTTTAATATTAATGTTAAGATTATGGAAATTTCGTTTTAACTTGTTTTTAAGCATAAATAAAAAGAAAATTTGTCTGTTTGTTGTGTAAGATGTAATTTTATTTCATCTCGTGAACTTTAAAAACAGTATTCTCACTCGTGGCTACGCCACTCATGAGAATACTGTTTTTAAAGCCCACTCGATGAAATAAAATTTCATCTTACACACAAACAAACAAATATCCTCTATGTAATATGGCTAATTTGTTCTCATTTACAAATTGTCAAATTACTGATATGTTATCACGTTAATATGTCGCAGACATTTTCTTCAACAGACCGAGTTCCGCTACCATTAACATCATACTGATGTTACAACAGATAATGTGTAAACTGATAGTCTCTGGTCATATCTTCTTGCTAGAATAATCTACAAAATTTACATAAATGTATTGTAATATTTAGTTAGAACTTACTTCATGACATTGTTTGCACATCACTTTATAACACGAATAAAACAAATATTTTTGAATTGTTCTTGCTTGTATACCTGTACAAACTAGTGTATACTCAGAAAGAGCTGAAGCCGAATGTTCCTTTGATTAAGATTTTTCTTATTTAGACTTGTTTACGTTGTATATTTATAATTTTTAATAAATAAGTAAAGTAAATTAACGAAACTTTGCTCTGTAGTTTATCTTATATTTCTGTTTGAAGGTATTGGTGAAAGGCACGTGATGTATGGGGTGAAAGCAGATATGGTTCCAGTAAGTTAGCCTAGTTTAGATAACGATCTTAATTTAACTTTTAACAATTAAAGTTAAATATCTTAATTTCTAGTCTTTTACATGGTCTGGACAAATATATTTTGGGGTACATATTTCATGGTAAAATAATCTCGTTCATCCGCTATGTATATCCATCTTTTGAATTGTGCATTTTGGGCTTTGCAATACACGTATCATGAATGATGTAGAATGTACAAGCTCTATCCTACTACATGGCATAGGTCTTCCATTACGGTCACAAGATGTTATTTCTGTTTGGTTTCAATTGACTTCTCTAATTTCTCTGATTTTTTAATGTAAAAGGCACTTACAATTGCACTTTTCTAGTGACTGTTCATTTGATGATGAATGTTAGTATTGACAATTTAAAAAGATCAGAAGATATTACTACTGAAGTTCAATACAGGCTTGGTCATTTAATCAATATGATTTTTCTAATTCGTTTCATGTTTCTAGATGTTTTTAGATAAAAACAAAGCAAAGATTCATTAGAGTATGGTATTTTATTCCATGATTGGGTTCGATGAGTATACTTGGTTTTATTGGAACTTGTTTCTTTCCAACAATATTTGTTCTAAATTGTCACTTCTACCTTATCATTAACCCACCTTACAATCCTAATTGTCGTCTGCTATACGCTGATATACATCATTATCATGCATTAATAAATAGAATGACAACAACTAATGACCCTGGTACTATCAGATTGCGAAACTGGAGACAAAAATCCCAGATATCCTAAGATATTTCTAATTTCAAGTATTACATTGCCATACTTTCAAAGTGTTTTCCTGCACAATTATACATGTATTATATGTTTAATAATTTCAGTTTACATCCCCGAGAAAACATGTACATTAATTTGAGGTTAATACTTGGTTGTTGCTCGCCATCGTGCGATATTGGCCCGAAGATGTGCATAATGGCCTGAGGGCCTATATATTTTTTGTGAGAATAACATTTAGTGTCAGTTTTTTATGAACTTTTGTTCCTTCAAGAACGGTTTCTGAGGTTGATGTCATCGGTCCGATCTTTTTTCTACCGTCAAACTGAAATCATTAGCAAGGCGGCCGAAATTGCATAATGACATAGACCTTTCCATAATGGCATTAAAATACCTTATATTTTGTTGCTATATATAGTAACATAGGTATAAATGTATAATAATAAGGCTATTATTTTTCAAATTAGCTAGCAACTATTATTTTTTTTTGTTAAAACTACACGTTTTGTATCATTTCAGCGTCTGTGGCCAGCCATTGTTACAACATTAGAGGAGCAATTAGGGGAAAACTTCGACAATAAAGTAGGATTGGCGTGGGAGAGGGTTTTCCAGTACATAGGGGGAAAGGTTATAGAGGGCATTAAGAGGTGGAAGAAGAAAAAGTAGTTCCGCGTGAAGATACAAGACAAAACACTCAAGCTCAATATTCACAGTCAATATGACTTTTCAAAATCACAGAACTTTGTTTTTCTATTCAAGTGTAAAAGTGCTCTAAGATGAATTGAAGTTAATTATGTTGTGATTTTCAGTACTCTTATCATTTGATTTTTTTTATTTTTACCGGTTTACGTAATGTACATTTTTACTTGAAAACTTCCTATATGATTACAGTTTTTTTTTTGATACAGTTTCATCATGTAAATATATATATGTAAATTCAAATAATGTAATATACTTATATGTATGTATCTGGCACGAATTAAATTTGCTAGGCCAGGGTCGCAAGAAACGTCAAGTATATGAATGAACATTTAGGTCGAATACATGTTAATCTTTAAACCGCAATTAATAAATGAATAACGCTATAACTGATTGCACTCGTATGCAACATGGAATGTATCCCCGTCTTATTTGTACATGCAATACAAGCAGCACATGTATCAGAGCATATTACATATATTAATGTTTTACGTACAGGTACAACTGTGAAAGGTCAAACTGATAATATATTCCGGATCATATATATTAACAACATGATTTACTAATTACATGCTAAAATATCGTTCCAAGATGGTCGTAACAATTTAACCCTACGGCTGAGAATTGTCCTTGAATATTTCATAAGTTTAAATTTACTTTAGTAAAGACAACACTGATACAGACTACAGTCATATACTAGTATTGAATAAATCTCAAATTTATACAAGCTAGAATTATTTATGATTAGAATGTAATGATTATTCAAGATATTGTTCAAGAACTTGATTTAATGAGTAATTCTTATCAGAAAATGTAGCTTTGATTAAAGTAATCTTATTACAAGATTTAAATGTTGATAAAGTATGACCATTGGGTAAATGATAACTTTTAAATAATTAATTGAATATAACATCTCTGCAACATCATTAAATATGTTGGCGTTCTGCTTGTCGTCGCCGTCCAAATTGAAAAATGACGTGATGTTTCTGTTGCAAATTTTAAAGTTGAATTAAAAAGAGTAGTGATGGTACGGTACATGTTTAGTAATTTCAGAGAGATGAAATAATTAAGAATATATAGGAACGTCAATGTCGTAAGCTAAAGTTATGATCCAGTGTCGTTTTTTATGTGTGCAAAAAATATTTTAAAAACTATATTGATTATTACCTACTTCGTTAATGAAATTCAGGAAGTTTTGTTGCCAATAATGGTAATTTAACAGCAAATTAATGTTTTTATGTTAAAGAAGAACATTTGATGAAAATATGGACGGAGATGTTGTCATGATACAATTGGTATAGATGTACTACCATCAAAACAATAAGCTATATAAAGGTTGTTTACCATTTCTCTCCTATTCTTTTCTGGCATTCTAGGCTAACATAATATTCTATGGCCGACCTATTTCAAGCAATGTAATCTATGTCCTGTGCCACGACACATTAAAGCATGGAATCAAAGAAAACCAAATCATTAATAAAGGTTAATAACAGTTACAATCATGTTATATAAAATGTCCAATCTCGCGCCTTTTTATTTTGTGTGTTTAATGGCAAAGCAATATAAAATTAGCTTTAGGAAACAACAATAAAAGTAAACCAAGATTAACTTGTCTTTAAGTACAATTTATAAATTTAACTTGTATAGTAAAGATGATTGTTGTTTTTCTCCCACGTCACCATTGATAGGTATTAAGGTTGTCTCATAAGGATACAATGATGGCGTCAAAGCCATATTAAGATATATTACAATACAGAAACACAACAAGTTTTAACCGATAATTACGCTTTTATTATGATATGTTTCGAATAATTTACTTTTTATTTACGCTTGATGAAATGTTTATCATATGCGGACTACCTAAATCGACACTGTGTTTATCGATAAGATACATAGTAAAATGTTTAATGACTTTCTTTTAGGTGTTGTTGTTTTAAATAAAGTGTCTGTGAATAATGAAATAAAATGTTGTTTAATTTTGATTTATAGGAACAATTTGTAATAGATTGAATGTAGTCAATACATTGAATATGTTTGGCAGGTTGGTGATGGATATATCAAACCTGTATGGGTTTGAGGGTACATTTTGCTTTATCAATATAGGGTTATTATACATTGTTGAGAGCAATGGTGGCTCGATAGCTCAGTTGGTTAGACCACTGATTATCACTCCTGAGGTCCCTGGTTCGATCCTGGGTTATAACCTTGGGATTTTTCAGAGACACTTTCAGTGTTTCCCACCTACCTAGAGGTGTACTGATAAGAAATCCAGGTAATCCTCGCATGTATCAGTGCTATACACTGGGCATGTAAAAGAACCAAGGGGTCTATTCAATAAAAGCTAGGGACTAGTTCCCGGATTCCATTGTATCTCATAGCTGTCTCTAAAAAATGTATACACTGTATACCTGATTAGAGTGATCGTAAACGATTTTAAAGCAGTATGATGTAGAACTAGAACTAGAACAATTCTGAATTTCAGTTCTATTGGACGAGTACACAGTTGTCAAACCTATATTGGACCGCTGGCCGAGTCTGATATAGGTTCTTCAGGTGTGTATGAGTCTAGTAGAATCAGTATTGTTTTCAACGACGTATAAATAATTACATTGTATTTATTTCAATCTATCAACTTTTACCATTTTGACAGAACCTTGAAAATTCTATGCAATATAGATATGATATGGAATTTTTGAAAATGAAAACGAGGCTTCACTGAATACAGTATTGATTTGATATGAATGCTTTGGATTCGGAAAAATGAAATCTTTTGTACTCGGGATATGAAAACGAGACTAAAGTCCAATAATGATTCATATTGGAACACCGTGTGGGGCAAAAGTGAGATGTTTGTTGGTTACTTTTGATAAGGTGTGACATAATTGTTATGTCAGTTATGAACGATATTGATTTATCCTAATAATATTTACACGAATTAAGCCCATTCTCTTTCCGGTCTCTGGTTGGAGATTGATTTTACTTGTATTATTTTCACTATGTGTGGGGATAATGTAAACTAAATTATTTTCACTATACTATATGGGGAATTATTCAATTGTATTTATTTCACTATATGAAGGGGTGGTATTACACTTGCACAAGTTTTATTAAATTCAACTATAATCACTATATAAGGATATGATTTCTATTTCACTACATTTAATCTATGAGAGGAATATTTCCAAACTTTCCGAACTGTTGAAAGCAGCGTTTTCCAGACGCTTTGTCGAGGGACTACAAACTGCCGAACTGACGGGGAAATTAAGTATAAGGGTTTTCATGTCTTATATCAAATGATACTTTTTGACAAAATTGATTTTGTAAAACGCACTTTGGTATAATACATACTTTGGTGTAATATAAACTTTCAGCGTTACGTCGCGTTCTGTGACCTGCGCCGCTATAAGGTACCGTGGTTATTTAAGACGGACTGAAACAGGAATGGACGGCAATAAATAAATAATATTTGACTACAAAATAAGTGGAACATTGTACTTTAAGCAGGTAAAACAGGTATAAACTTAATGAAGAAAACATGGAATAAACAAATTCCGGGTAATTCTGGATCATCCCTGGAATTGCAACAGTAACACTTTATGAGGGAATAATTTGATTTCTTTGATACTAATTTCACTACAACAAGAAACTAAGATAGTTACTTTCACTATACATTTATCAGAGAATTATTTGATTTTTGTATGACTTCTACTAAATGAAGCAAAGATGTTCAATTAGCATCACTGTCACTATATGAGAGAATTATTGATTTGCGCCAGTTTCACTTAAAACAAAGTAATGATATTTAACTAACTTATGAGGAGAATATTTAACTTGCATTACTTGGCTACTTTTGGAATGGTTGAATGTGTTATTTTAACTCCGCTAAACTTTATTATATGAATTAATATAAGACAACAAAGTTAATCACTTGATTATTATAGAAGAAGAATTTGTGTCAAGGTGAGGGACTGACAATGTGACACTAATGTTAACATCTGTTTTAACCTGGCGGAAGATTCACTTCATTATTTCTATTGTTATTGTACATGTATACTGTTTCCATCGTAAAACTGTTGACGTGGAAATGTAACATTTTCGTTTGAATATGTGGGGGACAAAATATTTTTGACTTGTACATTTTAAGACCATCGTCTTTCAGTCTTATGCGCGGCTTGAATAACCTCATTTGAGAAAAGTTGTATAAACATGTTATTACTGACAGAAATGTATCGAAATTTTAGTAATGAATAAAGAAATACCGAACAATTCATGAAAGGACTTAAATAGTTCAGACCAAGTCTTGTGTGTTACAACGTTTGCGTGAGAGAATGGCGGCGTGGCCGGGTGGTTAACGAGTGTTGGCCAGTATGTCATGCAATTTGAAGTATATTTTCGAATTTAGCTCGCATGTCTTGTATTTAAGTAAACCATGCTATGCTTCACAGCATCTACTTCAAAAGATGCCAAAAATCATGTGTGAAGTTAACCTATTTCATGTAAAATATGACTGGAAAACGTTGAGTTAAAAGTGCTGAAATACGGTCTTACATAAAAAGCTCAAGCAAAACTAGGAAAATCTGCCATTTATAAATGTTTATAACGATATATTTGTAATATGTATGGCAACAATGAAGTATCTTATACAAACTTTTTAAGGAGGATTTTACCGACAAAAACATTTTGCTAAGTGCTAACATCACGTCTGAATATTTGTATTTCTGTATAAGAAGATTATATCGAAGGGTCGGAAAAATTATTTTTTGGTCTTTTGTTCAATTCATTGACCATATAGCATTTAAAAAACTGACCCAGTGTCGTAATCTAAGGCTTGATAGCCGTCCTGGTTCATACCCAATCAGGGGCAAGCCGTTATCTCCTTAAGCCAGAAACTTTACAGTCACTACTTGTTGGTTCCAGGAACAGATTCGAGAGTTTCAATAAGCTTATAGCTTCTAACAAAATAAACTAAGTCTTGTATATGTTGGGCTGGCCAATATGAATTGCAATGATTCGCAATATCGTACATGTGGCACGTACAATAGTCCAATGTTTGGCAACACATGGTGCATATCTTATTGCTGTACTTTTGAGTTGGTGTAAACATAGGTAAACCAACTTTTAAACGTTTTATTAAAAGAGGTTATGACCCTACTATTTTAAGACATACTGCATGCTTAGTGTTACCCTTTTACAGTTGGACACTACGCTTTCCTCTTTTGATTACATCTGACGGACCAAGTGGGAGACTCTTATGATGGACAGTTCTTAAAGCCCTTTGGGACTGAATTGCCTTAATATTCGTCTTCTGCATTGCTTCGTCGGGCCCCTGTAGGTAATTTTCTTGTTACTCTGTCTTCCTTTAAGATATTGAGTACTTTTGTTATGGTCATTGGGTTTTCTTTTATATGTTTCTACATGATCATTTTAGTGTTTAACTTATTTCACCTTTGATAACCATAACAGCTGTTAGAATTTCACTTGGCGGGGATTCATTTTATTTACACTGTCTCGTTTATAGGAACATGGTGGGGCTAAGAGTGAGGTTTGGTTCACCATTAACCGGTTAAACTCCCCAGTAGTACTTGTGCTGCTAACCGCTCCAAAGCGGCGCCCCTGTGTGTTCATTATATGTATGTTTTGTTGTTTCATACTGTTTTGGTGACACTTTTGTTTGTGTCCCTTATTTACGGTAAGTATCTTCCCCTTTGTCCCTAGTTTTATTTCTTTAATTTTGCCCCCCCCCCCTTTTCCCCGAATCTTCTATCCCCTTACCCTGTGCCCTTTTACTTAGTGGGCCTATTAATCAATCATTTATTTGTTTTCTTTGATTTTTTTTCATAACCTCTGATCCCCTTGCAAAATTCCATTTTATTTGTTCCGCCCATTGTTTCCTCCTTTATGGCACAGGCATTCTTTTACTTGGGGACCATAAGCCGCTTTTCATTGAATGGCACGAAAGTGTCACATTGAAGGTTCAATGATAACCGCCGTATGAACACATCTGCGAATGTTTCTAAATTCAAAATTTCACCATTACCATGATTAAATGTTGAATTCTGCTTAAGCCGGTGCTAGGGGGCGTGGACGGTAACATGCATTTTCCATTACCGTCCATGAACAGGCTCAATCAAACTGAGCCGACAACATTTTCAATTTTGTCGTGTTTGACTTCCTTTAGGGATTCTTTATTTTTCTCTATTTGATTTCCTTGTCGGTTTGTATTATTTCTTCTCATATATCATTTTTGTGATTAGATTGTCCTTGCTCTGCCTTGCGCCCTGTCCTGTTTTTGTTTGGGGTTCTCCTGGGCAACTTGCCACTGGTTCTTGTTCGTGTGGGGTTGCGTTCATTGAACGCCGCCTTTCCTTGATGTTCTTATTTATCATATTTTAGAATCGTGCAAGTCGATACTTTTGCAATTTTAACACTATGGTCTATCTCGACAAGTGATAAACTAGCGTCATTGCCAATGGTAAACTTGGATTTATGATTTTTTTCTTAGAAACAGCTGGATGTTTTCTGCCGAGCTTGCATGCGTCTTCAATAGACTTTAAATTGTATTAATTTATGTATTCACTTTGTTACTGTTGCATAAGATACTCCACCAACTCCATAAATACAACATATAATGTACATTATAAAAATGAACAGTAGAAATTTCAAATTTTGCATGAGCTTTCATGTAAACTGGTTTTTTAGCACTTTTAACACCATATTTTACATTGAGTTGCCCCTGCAGACTAATTTTAGTTAAACATATTAAAAGACAACATGTATGTATTCTGTACCATTGGAAAGAGTATGCTTTGACACATATTCTTGTACTAAATTTCGTGGATTTTGTGAGTTAAACATCACATAACAATACATATTGAAAAAATTACAGGTATTGCTCGAGTATAGGATATTTTATGTAATCATAAAGTAGCAGAAAATTAATACTTTAATTATTCGCATTAATCATCTGTCTAGAAGAAGTATC